CCAATAAGTAGAAGGGTAGTTTCCTGGGTCCCAAGCGGTGATGTGGGCGGCCGCCATTCGGTGGTCCGATGACGTGGATGTCCTTCCGTACGGCGTCCCTGTTGGTACAGAAACATAGTTGAATTTATGATAATTAAATGTATATTTTTCAAATAACATCTATATTTTTAGAATTACTTTTGAGAATATATTTTTTTAATTTTTTTTTGTTTTATTAATAATTAAAATAATTAATATTTATCTATTATATAAGATAAAAGTGGACATGTGTTTCCACTAATTAAATAATAAAATAAATATAGAAAACAAGTTAGGTAAACTAATTTTATCACTTTTACGAATTTTGAATCAATTCATTGAACTATTTTTTGTCAATTTCCTTTTTTTTTTAATCTTTTTAGGTTGTCCTCGACCTAATTAACTTATTTATACTTTTGTAGAACTAGCTACTCCAACAGGTCTCCTTTTGCATCTAACAAAGGTAGCAACACAAATGTCATGTCCTTCTCAAATATCAATATCATTGCCCATTTAAAATGGCTAGTCGAGAAAAAACAATAATAACAATAAAAAATTATTCAAATTCTATTGAAAATGGTATAGAGAATGCATTAACTTGAATTTCGTTGATCTTTGGAAGCACTACCTGACTTGTTCTTCGTTCAGCAGTCAAACTTATCGGTATCGTATAGTTTTCATGTTTATCATTCATATCACATCTACATATATTATTGGGATAGCATTTATATAGTGGTAAAAGAATCACATGTTACGTGTTTTACTCAGTAAAACTTGGTTTTAGTAAACATTTGAAGGCAGAATCCAGAGTTAATTAAATCATGCAACTATATTCAAGAAGCTTAAAATATTAAATACATCCTTATTTCTAAAATACTATGAATGGTATATTTGTATATATGATGATGTGATATGGATATTTATTATAGTTGATATATGCCCAATAATATATGGCATGAGTAGATAAATTTAATGAATCAGGGTTTCCATATTTTCAAATTTCAATCATTATGCTCTATCTGTTCCAAGAATATGGCCAAGTTTAGTGGAGCTCAAAGGATCTAGAAGCATGCATTTGCATTTTGTGCAACAAGATGGATCACGTTTAAGGATCATCATTATTAGACTTTGGGTTTGGACGTGCAAGAGAAGGCAGAAAATTGCGGCGCATAAGGAAAATAAAAACATAGGCAATAATATGAGAATAATAATGAAAAACTAATTTTTGTGGAAGTCTTGGTTTTGGCCAACTCACAATAGGATTTCACTAGTCCTAATTAAGATCTCTCTCTCGTAGGGACGGGTGCATATGTTTCATGTCTATTGCATGTTTTGTAGGGTACCTACCTTCTGGGCAGAGACCTAACGCCTGGGTCCTAGGCCCTTGGATTTATATATATATATATATATATATATATATATATATATATATATATATATATATGTGTGTGTGTGTGTGTTTTATATTTGATTATATATATAACTATATATGTGATTAACACTTTTAGATTTTAGAATTTTGTTATTTTCTATTTTAGAATTACGTATAATTATATGCACAATAAGTGATTTTATTGATTTTTTATATTTATCTGATGATAAGAAGTTATTCATTAAGCATCGTTAATGACACAAACTTACAAAGTCTTGAAATAAATCATTCAAAATATACCAAAACATTTTTTTTAATGATGCTATTCTATTTACTAATAAACTATTTAGTAACACTACGAAATACTAATATTTATTGATGAATGTATTTATGTCAATACACTATAATTATCGACAAAATTATCATCAGATTATGTTAATGAATTTATCGACAGATATATTTATCGGTAATATGATCATGAAGTATATGAATTAAATATCCATTGATAAAAAAATGTAATTAAGTTCTTCAATTCCATTTTAAGATGATTATTCTTACAGTTGATGGTGTAGTAGAAACCTGAGCACAAAGCTTAAATTAAGAAAAATTTTCATAGAAAAACATCTCACAAAATATATGAATGTTTAGAGATGCATGTAATACAAGAGAACGATCTTATTGGGTGGGGAGCACATTTATAACTCAAACATGTGTTATCGCCTAAAGGAGTAGAACTTCAGAAAAGGATGATGTTGTGCATACAAGTGGTTCAATTACCACTCATAAACATGTCATTCGTATGATACACATTCATTTCCTGTCCATTATGATATAAGTTATTTACTTTAAAAATTGATGTATATATATATATATGACTTCCTATTTTGTTACAAGCACAAGAGTCACTGAATTCTACGCATTGATGAAGTGTTTCAACAAGCTCATCTACAAAAGGGATCTGATCAGTTTGTTGACTGAGAGGTCTTGGAGGACACATGTAAGTAAACTCTTTTACAAACTTCAAACTTGTATTTTTTGTTCCTTTTAAAAGTAATCCTTCTACTAACATTTTGCATATCTTTTTAATAGGAAGAATTTTCAATTAGACTCTCATAGGTCATATCAGAGCAAGGATATCATGACTTTTTGATGATGCATCACAAGCAAATATCGTTGACAATGACATCATTAGGACATAGTATTGGGTGGATGTCGTTGGTGGAAAAAAATAAAGGATGACTATATGGGCAGGACAACTTGCTGCTCATTACACTATTGGAAGAGGTATATTAAAGCACTAACCATCTATATCCAGCAGTGGTGACCAGGGTTATGATGAACTGAGACAACAACTACAAACTCGTGATCAAGCTTATGATTATCTCAAACAACAATTTGAGAATCTTCAAAATTTGATAATAAGATTCTTTCCTTCAAACGCACAACCCATGGTACAACAACCTCAATTCACCCTAACATTATTCCAACAATGGCACTCTCCAATGTAGTCCATCCTAGTTTGACCACCTCCCTAGTAACAACAAGATGAAGAAGAAGAAAATAATTCTAATGATTATGATATATCTTATATCAAAATATTTTATTATCCTCATTCACACAATTAAGTTAATAAGTGTCTTGTTTTTATATAGAAATTTAGTGAATTTTGAAACTTATAATTATATATCATAATATTTTCTAAATCTTAAATTAAACCTTAAGAAACATTATTCGTTGAATATCTAAAAATAAATATTGGACAATCTTAATAAATTTCTTTGGATACAACACTTTGATATCATTATATATTTAATACACTGAAATTCGTTGTTACTCTGAAATCTCATATAAGATTAAATACTTTTAACATAAATTTCGAAAAAGGTTTTAAATACATGAAAAATTAACACTTTGCAACAAAAATAAATTGATGACTTCCGAAACTCTCTCAAATGAAGGAACTTGTGTATATTATTTAATTATTGTATAATATGATATCTAAATCGAGCGGTTATCAAACACAATTGATCGACCGATCGCCCTACCAACTATAGAGAGACTCGCCAGCCATCCACTACACCAAGCGCTCGTCAATTATCTTATAATTGACAACGCACGTCAAACCTCCATAAGCAGGTCAAAGCACTCGTTAAAAGTCAAGTGACATATGGCACTCAGTGAACCAAATCAAGTCAAGACCAGCGGACACTCAGAACGGTTGTCAAAGGTTAAGCGACACAAGCCAAGATTAGCGAACGCTTGATTACGAGGTTGGGCCAATTAGCCCAACACTTAAATAATTGGATCAATAGTCCAGATGGTCCAATTAGAGAACAGTCAACAATATCTAACCGTAATAACGCAGGTTACGGAATCAACTAACCAAATATCAAGGCTACGTGGATCACGAGCAAGTAACTGGATTTACCAACTAATCGGATTTTAAGGTAATCAGTTATTTTACTTTTAGGTTAAATATAGAAGAACCTAAGAGAAAAAGGTACGTTTTGCTTGAAGAGAAAATAATTCACTTTGTGAGAAAATCACTGATTAAGAGAACTAAAGTTCCAATACTCATATCTGACTTTAGCATCGAAGTATCTGCGCAGGTACCCCCCACTCTCATTGAAGGAAAGACAATGGTTCCAGACGTACAAGAGTAATAAAGCATCACCAACCTGGTTCATATCTCGTTCCCAAGCAATCACACTGAAACATTTTGGCGCCCACCGTGGGGCTGAGATTGATACACCCAAAGAAGACCACAAGAACTATGGAAGAGAATAACACCAGAGATTTGATTAAGCAACTCCAAGCCCAGATTGAAACGCAGGCAAGAACTATACAGGAGCAACAGGAGAATCAGCGTAAGCAAGCGGAGGAAATTGCAACGTTTAGAGCGCAACGACCTCCACCTGAGGTGTCTACCTCAAACAGGCAGGATGATAATGAAGGTATTCGTCATGGAGGACATTTTGAACCTGCTGGGGGGGAGAAGAGGACCCACAACCCTTTGGCTCACCAATCTACTTCCGTTTACAGAAGCCATCATGCAAGCTACTATGCCAGAAAAACCCCCTCCAACGTTAGAAAGATACGACGGGTCAGCAGACCCAGATAACCACCTCAGAAACTTTATCGATGTTATGGCATTCTACACGGATAGCGACCCAGTCATTTGTCGAGCCTTTTCCTTGTCTTTGAAAGACGAAGCGCTGGAGTGGTATCATACCCTTCCTCCAAGTACAATAGATTGTTTCGCCATGGTGGAAACTCTCTTCCGAAGACAATGTGCCGCCAACAGAAGGCAAGAGATGACATCAGCCGAGCTAGTGAAGACCAAACAGGAGAAAGATGAAACCCTGAAAGCATTTATGCAGAGATATAACGAGGCTGCAAGACGCATGAAAGACGTGAACCACACGTTCATAATAATAAATTTGTCTTTGTGTTTAAGACCGAGGTATTTTGCTGAACAGTTGTACGCAGAGCCACCAAAATCCATGGAAGAACTCCAGGAAACGATCGCTAAATTCATACGCATCGAGGATCTCAGAAACTCGAGGAAAAAGCAACAACAAGAAGCCCTAATAATGGAAACAAAAAGGAGATGAAGCGGTCGTTTAATGACAACAAAGGTGACAGGCCTCCTCGAAAGGAACCAGCTTGGACACCCAAGTACGAGCGTTATACTGCTCTTACCGCACCAAGAGCAAAGGTACTTGAAGAGGCCCTACACGCCGAGGTCCTTACAGTTCGAAGAAAATCCTCACCAAAGAATCCTGATGAAAGTAAAGTCTGTCGTCTTCACCAGAATCATGGTCACGACACAGAGGAATGCAACATAGTAAAACATGAAATAGAAAGACTTGTCCGTGCAGGATACCTCCGAAAATACATAAAGGGGGAAGCACCCAGGGCAACAAGTCCCAACAGGAGAGGGACTTCGCGTAGGAGTCTCGAACGTTCGTCCCGTATAGGCGATCAACAAAGACGACGCTCCCGAAGCCGCACCCGAGACCCAGAACGAGAACGCTCGGTTCGAGGCCGAATCAACACCATATCTGAAGGCTTCGCAGGAGGAGGAGCGTCAGCCTTTGCCCGCAAGAGACATTTGATAAGCTTAAAGACTATGCACATCGTAGATCAACAACCTCGTTCTGTGCCAAACATCACCTTCACAGATGCAAATTTCCACGCTCCCGATCCTGATCACGATGACCCCATGGTCATCACTGCTGAGATAGCACGATACAATGTCAGTAAAGTGTTGATCGATCAAGGCAGTTCAGTCAACATCTTGTACTAGACTACATTCCTTAAGATGGATCTATCCAAAGATTTGATAGCCCCTTTCAATGAGCAGATTGTAGGGTTCACAGGAGAATGGGTAGATACTCGAGGATATCTCGACTTAAGAACTCGACTCGGGACTGGCAGAGAAGCAAGAGAACTAAGGGTAAGATTCGTACTCGTAGAGGCGAACACTTCATACAATGCACTGCTAGGACGACCTTGTTTGAACGCCTTCGGGGCCATCGTCTCCACTCCCCATTTAGCTATGAAGTTCCCATCAGAAAGAGGTATTGTCTGTACGGTAAGAGCAGATCAGCAAACGACCCGACAATGTTATGTTGCTGGTCTAAAAGTCACACCCTTCGTTCCACCAAGAAAAACCAGAGGGGCGAAAATAGCAGCGATCGACCTGGACCCCAGAACCAACGTAGACGATCGAATTCAACCGTAAGGCGATGTCAAGACATTCCTATTGGGAGTGGAAGCGTCACAAACCACGACCATTGGCAGTAACTTGGAGTCGAACAATGAACATGATTTGGCGAAGATGTTGAAAGCCAACTCTGACTTATTCGCTTGGGTAGCAGCTGATATGCCGGGAATCCATCCTGGAGTAATGATGCACAGATTGTCGATTTTTAAAGAAGCACGCTCAGTCGCTCAAAAGAAGCAAAGATTCGGCGAAGAAAAGCGAGACGTCGTACAAACGGAGGTCACCAAGCTGTTGAACGCTCGGTTCATCAGAGAGGTAACCTACACAACTTAGTTGTCGAACGTCGTTATGGTTAAAAAGTCGAACGCTCAGTGGAGAATGTGTGTCGATTTCACATATCTCAACAAAGCATGATGTTTGTTGAGTGTATCAAAGTAATTATGCATGTTTTATAAATGATTTGTTGCATGTTAGCTCACCCTACTTGTTTGTGTTTGTGTATGTGCGATGATCGTATAATTCGTTATACGAGAACAGATGAAGGAATGTCGTCTGATTCAATGCCAATGAAGAAAGAGATAGAAAAAGAATTCGAGTTATATTTATGAGTTTGTAGTTGAAATTTGAGTTTAATATATATATATATATATATATATATATATATATATATGTATATATATATATATATATATATGTATATATGTATATATGTATATATGTATATATGTATATATGTATATATGTATATATGTATATATGTATATATGTATATATGTATATATGTATATATGTATATATGTATATA